AGCAACACAAATGTCTATGGACAGGATAACAGATGAACTGTGCCACATTTGTACATCAGAATATCACTCACCACTTAAAAAATAAAGTACTGATGCATATGTCAACATAAATGAAACTCAAAAACGTGTTATACAAAATTTGTTAAAAACTAAATAGTAGATGCTGTATGGCTCTATTTATGTGAAAGGTTAAATGGATTTATAGAGACAGAAATCAGAATGGTGGTTGTCCATGTGGGGAGGACTGACTGGAAGGGGCAGGGGAACTGCTGGATGAGGAAAATGCTCAACTTTCTCTGAGTGATGATTACATGAAGGTAAGTATGTGCACGGAGTGTGCCTATTTGTCAAGATTCATGAGCTGTGAGTTTCAGGTTTATATACTTTACTGTATCAAAACTGAGAAGCAAAGAAAAATAAGAGAAATGCTATTTTCCACTTAAATTAAAAGTTAATACTCTTCATGTGATCCAGCAATTTTACTTCCATGTGTACATCAAAAGAATTAAAAGCATGGTCCCATACAGGTATTTGTACATCAATATTCATAGCAGCATTCATGACAACAGCTAAAATATGGAAACAACCCAAATGTCTACCAACAGGTGAATGGATAAATAAAATGTCACACATACACTGGAGTATTATTTGGCCAGAATTTCATGGAATAAAATTCTGATATATTAACCTTGAAAACATTACACTTAGTTGTAATGAGTCAGGCACAAAAGGCAAATATTTTAAAATTCCACTTATGTGAGGTACCTAGACTAGTCAAATTCATAGAAACAAAAAGTAGAATGGCTGTTGCCAGAGACTGGGGGTAGAGAATTTGCTTAATGGGTACATTTCAATTTGGGAAAACAAAAAGGTTCTAGAGGTGGTCAGCTTGAATACACTTAATGCCACAGAACAGAACACTTTAAAATGTTAAATTTTGTTACATATAGTTTATATATTTTACCGCAACAAAAAACAGAACCATGCTTGGCTCATCAACTCATCAGTTGCATGGATAGGCAAAAGCCAGATCACAATAGACTGAGAAAATCAGGGCTGAGGCTATGGAGACAGGTAAGATAAACTATTCTTTCAAAATGCAAATGAATGAAAGTCATTCAACCACAGTAGGATTGGTTAGATTGAATAACTGTTTATCAAAGACACTGTAAGAGCAGTTTCACTTGGGTTGTAGATTGAATTAGGGAACTTCAAAATTACCTTGGGACTCTACAATCCTAGAAAACATAGGCAAAGAAAAGATTAATGATGACAATAGCATGTTTCTATAAAATCACTACTGGGACCAAATACATGAACAGGAACTAGACTGTGGATGAAAGTGTTAAATAAGTCACAGGAAATGATGTGTTTCTAGAATGTAACCCAGTATCTACAATCTTTAAATTATGTAAGAAATGTCCATCGACAGGTAACTTTATAAATAAAATGTGCCACATATAAATAATACAATATACTTTAGTCTTAAAAAGTATCATGGATGAGCTTGAGTGAAATAAGCCAGACCCAGAAGGGCAAATATTGTATGATTCCATTAATATGAAATATTTCACAGATAAGGGAAATAGAACAGATGGTCCCAGGGGCTGGGAAGGAATGGGATTTCACATGTACACAGATTCTGTTTGGGATGATGAAAATCATCTAGAAATGGCGACAGCATGTTGTAAGTATATTTAATACCATTGACAACTACACTTAAAAAGGCTTAAACTGGAGAGTTTTATGTACATTTTACTACAATATAAAAAGTCTTCTACTAAAAAAGACTCTAAAAGGAGACATCAAGCTGAGATCAGGTTTCTCACATATTCAGTAAATTCCCACAGGTTGTGGACAAAACCCATTTTGGCTATAGATAACCCCAAATTGGTGAAGTCCTCAGTGGAGACTCAAGAAGGAAATATAGGCATGAAGTAAATCAATTTTCTTAACTCAATGAAGAGTAAGATCCTCAACTGAAAGCCAGAAAAGATCCCAGGTTACAGAAGACAGGAACTGCAGGCGGGGTATGCCCTGCACTTCTTAGGTGCTTTTGCACAGCTCCACAGGCACCACTTACATCAGTCCCTGCATTATCCTATGTGAACCATGCCCCTGGCCCTGTTCAATGGCTATGCAGCCTTTAGATGACTAATAAATCATCAGAAATAAGACTCAGATGAAAACATTATCTTCTAGATACTCCACTTGGCCCTATTCGCACCCTCTCTGCAATATTGTATTTAGTCTTGAACTCTATAGCTCCAGGAGGGACACCAAATTTCACAAAAGGACCAAGGGAATTATGGCAAAGGAATTCAAATATCTAAAATTAAAAAAAGAAAAGTTGAGGGTTGGTGACGTGTTCAGCAGTACATGATTTGCCTAGCATACACCTATAATCCTAGTTACTTCAGAGGCTGAGATCAGGAGGATGGAGGTTCCAGGCCAGCCTGGACAAAAAAGTTTGTGATACCACATTTCAATGGAAATAAGCTGGGCGTGGTAGCACACACTTGTCATCTCAATTAGGGTGAGAAACCTAAAATAAGAGGATCGTGGTCCAGGCTGGCATGGGCAAAAAGCGAGACACTATCTCCAAAACAACCAGAGCAAGGGCTAGAGGAGTGGCTTAAGTGGTAGAGCACCTGCCTAGCAAGAGTAAAGACCTGAGTTCAAGTTGGAGTACTGCCAAAAAAAAAAAATCTCCCCAAAACAAAACAAAATAATGAGCAAAAAGGGTTGGGGGTATGCTCAAGTGTTAGGGAACCTGCCTAGCAAGACTGAAGCCCTGAGTTCAAATTCCAGCAACATCAAAGAAAAAAAAAATCCAGGACAAGAGTCCCTTGGTCAGATCTAATAAGCAGCAAGAACAATTAAAAAAAAATTTTTTTAAGGTACCAGTGGGAGAAGGGAGGATGTGAATATGGTGCAAATATTGTGTACACATATATGTAAGTGGAAAAATGAGACCTGTTGAAACTATTCCAGGAATGAGGGGAAAGGGAATAAAGGAGAATGGAGAGGTGAATTCAACTATGATACATTGTAAGAACTTCTGTAAATATCACAATGTACCCTCAGTACAACAATAATAAAAAAATAAAATAAATTACAAAAAAAATTTAAAAAGGATTTTTATTTTTAAAAACCTGGTTAGATCTAATAAATGAATTCAGCAAAGATGTAAAATACAAAGTCAACTCAAAAATCAATTGCATTTGTATACTCTAACAAAGAACAATCTGAAATGAAGTCAACAATTCCATTCATGAACATCAAGAAGAACAAACGCTTAGAAATACTAGAAGTAAACAGCCAAGGAAGTGAAAAATTGTCCAAAAAACCCTGAGCTGAAGAAACTAGAAATATGTAACCTTCAGAGAAAGGACATGGCAAGCACACACTACACTTTATGTCCTGAAGACAGCTGATTTCCTGAGGGAAAATCCATGCCCTATTTGTCTTTGTACCTACCACTAGTCGGGAACATGGTAAGTATACATATCTATGAGGGGTTCAAAAACAGGAAAAGCTAAGCTTTAATAATAAGAAACCAGAAACTGGTGTGCTGGGGCTGGGTGTGGTGGTGCCTACCTGTGATCTCAGCACTCCAGAGGCTAATCAAAAGTTCAAGACCAGCCTTGGCTACATAGGGAGTTCTAGGGCAGCCTGGGCTACAAAGTGAGACCCTATCTCAAAAAAAAAAAAAAGTGGTTGTTCTGAGATGTAGACAGGAGGAAAAATTGGTTAGAAGGAGCCCTGTAGCAATGGTAAAATTTATAGCATTACATATCAAATACGCCACTTTCCCCAAAACTGTAACTTTGTATCTCATTAAGCTGAGCTGGGTTTGGACCATTTCTTGATTGGCATACAGTCCTCCTCTAGACCTGCAGCCAATGCAATTACAGGGTTTGACTCTACAGGAAAGGTAGACTGACACAGGAGAGACAATCAAAATACACCCGAGTCTCACCTAACTAATAAATCACCCTGGGACTAAATGAAGCGATAGATATCACAGCAAGATAAGTCTCATGACCAGAAATGATTTAAAGAATATTAGCAATTATGTTAATTCAGAATTACATCTGGATATCAGAAATAAAATTATAGATGTATAATCTTCCAATGAAAGATATATTCCTGAAAACTTCTTGTAAAATACATTTCTGAAAGGCAACCATATTGTCTAACAACTTGCATTATAATTTCAAAGAGTGATAGAAACACCCCCAAATAAATTAAACAATTTATTGACAAAATCAACATTAAGGCTCTTAGCAGAGAATAAGAAACTGTGTGCTGCAAAAGGCTACACAGCCTGGCAAATGCAACTAATGTCTGTAGACAAGAACTGCACACAAGACCTTAGGCAAGTCATGCCCCTTCCACTCAACCTCGATTGTCTTGCCTAAAAACACACAGATATGTAGATGAATGAAGGGATGCCTTTTCTGCTGAAGACAAAGTTCAGGTATTTCTCCAATGCCTGATGAGGAGGAGATACCCAATCCATCAGACGTGGGAGAACTTGATGTAAACCCTCCTGGACTTCACAGGTTAGGGAATGAAGGAATCCTATTATTCGAAGTAAACCATGTATCGTAACACTGTCAGAGCAACTCTTTACAGTGTAGGCCTTCACCTAGATAGGCTCTCCAGGTTCAATTTTTTAAAAAAACTCACACTTATTTAAATATACATCAAATTATGTGAGGCCTAATTTGTCCTATGAGTGATTTTTCCACAAGTAGAAAACTTGTATACACATAATAATCAAAACTAATACATTCACAGGCCAACAGTATGTAACAAGTACAAAAGCAACAGCTAGATATAGCAGAACATTTAGACTATCAGTGCTTTTCCTAGCACTTAAACTTTAACATTCACACTTTTAAAAGCTGCTATGTAGAATAGAACAAGAAAAAGAATCAATGAAACAGAGCGATCTCTTCAAATACAAAAATACAATGAAACTGGATACAGACCTTTTTTCTGCCTGGGTTTTTGAGGTTCAGCAGATGCAGGAAACTGACTTTTCTGAAATGAAAGAAGTCATATGTTAAAGTACCTTGCTAACTTGAAGGTACATTCAAGTAACAAGAATAATAGCTCACCAATCATGCAAAGAATTATTTTGAGTGTGATTTAACAACAAATACCAAGTCATACTGTGTTATCCAAACTACTTAAAATTTACAATGCATGTTTATAATAAAAATGCTCATAATTTACAAAATTTATAATGTGCAACTTAATATACTAAGTTCTTAAATATCCCATAGTAATACTATACTTTTTTGATGGTACTGGGATTTGAACTCAGGGCCTCACACTTGCTAGCAGATGCTCTACCACTTGTGCCACTCCACCAGCCCTTTTTGTGTGTGTGTTGGGTATTTTTGAGATAGGGTCTCACTTTTTTTTTTTTGGGCTCGGGCTAGTCTTGAACTATGATCCTGCTGATCTCTGCCTTCCCAGTAGCTAGGATTACAGAGGTGAGCCACCTGCACCTGGCTAGTACTGTACTTAATGCTATACTTCTCAGCAGCCAAACCAAAAAGGCGATCACCATTTGCCAAAAGGAAGCTTCTGAGGTCATTTGCACAGAAACTGTCCAGCACTAAAAGAGAAATGGTATACTAAACCTAACACCGTAACAGTAGAAAATCTTTAAATGGATTTTTCTTACATCAGCTTCCCATTTAACATGTATCAAAATATCTAAGCAAAAATAATGGCTGAAATTTATCCATAAGTATTAAGAGCCAATAATTGTCTGGATATGCAACAAATCCCAACCAGGTAAAATGAAAATAAATCTATATTTAAATACATTTAGAAATATCATAAGAAAGCACACCAAGTGCACTTGGTGGCACATGCTTGTAATTCCAGCGCTCAGGAGGCTAAGGCAGAAAGACAGTGAATTCAAAGCCAATTTAGGCTACATGGTGAGACCATGTCCCCAAAAACAAACAAGGAAGCACACAATGACAATAAGAAATTACATGCTCAACTGAGTGCTCTACCACTGAGTCACATCTTCAGTCCAAGAAATTCTGAAGAGCTGTGGGGTATAGTTCAGTGGTAGACCACTTTCCTAGCATATGTGAGGCCATGGGTTTGATCCTCAGCACTGCAAAAAAACCAAAAAGCTTTTTTTTTTTTTTGGAGGGGGAAGGTGGACTAGGGTTTGAACTCAGGACTTCCTGTTTGCAAAGCAGGCATTCTATCACTTGTGCCACACCACCAGTGCATTTTGCTTTGGTTATCTTGGAGATGAGGAGGGTCTCTCAAACTGTCTACCCAGGCTGGCCTTGAATCACCATCCTCCTGATCTTAGTCTCCCAAGTAGCTAGGATTATAGATATGAGCCACCGGTGCCTAGCTAAATCAAAAGTCTTACCAGCAGCCAAAGAAAAAAAAATATATTACCAGATTTAAAAAATGGACAATTAGGCTGCTACTGACTTCTCCAGAATTAAAAATGGAAAGCAATTACTATCATAGTGAAACATCATCATGAGTGCAAATGTCACGTACTAAGAATGAATGCCATCTAATCAGAGGCTAGCAAACCAGGTTTGGAAACCAAACCCAGCCTGGGTTATTATGGCCCATGAACTACAATTGCTTTGGGGAAAGTTTAATAAAATTTTCACACAAAAATTATATAAAGCCACATTTTAGTGTCTAAAAACAAATTTTGTCAGAACACAGCCATACTCCATGTTCTATGTTGTCCATGGCTGCTTTTGTACTAACTACAACAGCATGGTTCAGTAGCTATTAGAGATTGTGCAGTCCACAAAGCCCAAAATATTTACTATCTAGTCATTTACCAAAAAAAATTTGCCATTCCCTGATCTAGATTCTTACAACCATCCAAACTAACTTTAAGACAAAGGCAAACATTAGACTTTCAGAATTTGAGAGTTTTCAGACTCTATGCTTTTAAAGAATATAATTAGGAAACAAGGAAAACAAGGATAGAAGTGAAGGGAGCAAAGGAACTGGAAAAATATGCAAGTATTCTCAGCATCTTCCTACCCATGAAAAAAGTATAATTTGTGGTGTTGAACTAAAAACATAAAGAAGTACAAAACTGAACAAAAATGCAATTGGCAGATACTGATGGGCTGTAAAACATTTGATGATCCCTGTAGTACTCAGATGTCAGTGTGGACTTAAATCTACATTCAAAAAATTTTTTGGTAATCATTAAAGGAAAACAGAGCATACAACTTCCAAGAAATGAAATGAGAGCAAGGGGTGGGGGAATGAGGTAGAAAAAGAAATGAAATTCTCCAGTTAAAACAGGTAATCAAGATGGATTCTTTAAAATGTTTGCATATTTTAAAAATACATAGGTGTGGTGGCACATGTCTGTAACCCTAACTACTCAGGAGGCTGAGGCAGGAGGATCACTTGAGCCCAGGAGGTTTAGATTTTTTTGTTAAATTTCACTCTTTCTGTTCTTTTCTTTCTTTTTCCTTGCGGAACTGGGGTTTGAACTCAGAACTTCACTCTTGCTAGGCAGGCACTCTACCACTCGAGTCATGCCTCCAGCCCGAACCCAGGAGTTTGAAGCCAGCCTGGACAACAAAAAATATCTAGATGCATACTATTTTTATAAAGACAAAACTAAAACATAAAAGCAAAGAAAATGTAAAAGGACAGAAAAGGATACATCAAAAAGACTCCCCTCTTGTTACCCTCTCCTTTTCTCCCATGACAGGTCATAGAAACTCTACACTTTCCTGGCTTTAGAGCCACTGGCCATTCTCTGCTCTACCTTTTCTGAAGGATCAGAAGACCTTTAGTCCAGAAGGGACCTTACATTATACCTGGAAGGATGCCAAAAAGAATCTGACTAGACCAATCCTGGTGGGTTTGTCCACTCAGTCTATCAGTAATCATGCTTACACAGTGAAATCACATAAAAATCCAAAGTTGAAGTTGAAATTTCCGGAGAGGTTAATACATGGAGGTTAATACGTGGAGGGTGGCAGGCTGGAGGGGGAACAGAGGCTCTGAGCCCCTTTGCCCATACCTTGTCCGAGGCATCTCTGTATCTGTATTCTTTGTAATATCATTAATAATAAGTAGTAAACATAAGCAAGTGTTTTCCTAAGTTCTGTGAGCCATTCATGCAAATTAATCAAATCGAAGGAGGGGCTTCTCAATTTTCAGCCAGCAGGTCAGAAGCACAGGTTAACAAGCTGGGGCTCACAAGAGATATCTGAAGGGTGCCAGTCTTGGAGATCATACACTCAACATGTAGGATGCGAGGCTATGCTCAGGTAGATAAAATCAGAACACACTCGACCTCGAGGACACCTGGCTGGTGTCTGCTGCAGGAGAACTGCTGCCTTGCTTGGTGTGTCAGAAAAGACACTCACTCAGGCTCTGGTACTAGGGTGATCTGTGCTGCTCATGCACAGTATGTAAAACCGAGTCTGAGTTTGAGTCTCCTACCCAGAAGTGAAGACAAAAAATGAAGAGATTTGTATTACAAACCAAAACCTCCAAATGACAAAGGATTAACAAGCAGAAACTATAAACAACTACAAATCAGTAAGAAAAACAGCAAAGTAGAAAAATAAGCAAAATGTGAACACTGTACAGAAGAGAAAAAGGGACAGCCAATGATGCCCTACTCAATAGTAAGGACAATGTAAATTAATATCACATTAAGACATACTTTCATATACACTACATTGACAAAATTTAATGGTATGACAATGTTAAGAATGTAAGCAACAAGAACTGGTGGTAGAAGCACAAATTGCCACAACCACTTTAGTTTGCCACAGGTAATTACATTGAAGATGTTCCTACCCGGTGACTCAGCCATTCGTTTCTAGGTATACCTAAAGCAACTAAGACAATCCAGCATAGCCAAAGCGAGGACAAAGGTGAGCCAAGTGAGGTAGATGGGTGCAAGCTTTAAGTAGGCATTCGTTCTGACTCCTAGACATTTGCATTCTAAGCACCTCACCTGCCTTACTAGTCTTGGCCCCATTTATAGCACCATTGTGTTTGTTTTGTTTTGGCAGTATTGGGGTGTGAAGGTCTCACTACCTTGCCCAGGATGGCCTTGAACCTTCGATCCTCCTGCATCTGAATCCCAAGTGCTGGGATTATAGGTTTGTACCACCACATCCAGCTAGCATTGTTTTTAATAACTAAAAATTAGAAATAATACAAACCTCCAACTAGGTATGTGTGTGTGTGTGTGTGTGTGTGTGTGTGTGTGTTGCTGGGTTGAACTCTCAAAGCCTCACATTTGCTAGGCAGGTGCTCTACCACTTCAGCCACTTTGCCAGCACAAACCTCCATCTGGTAGAATGGGTAATTGTAGTATTTTATGGTACTGGCATACTAGGCAGCATTGAAAAAATGAATAAACTGAAGGCAAATAACAAAAAGAACCATTAAGTCAGACATCCCAGCACTCAGGAGGCAGAGGCAGGACGATTCAGACTTGAAGGCTACACAGTGAGACCCTCCCTCAAAAAAACACCAATAATTAAAAAAAAAAAAAAAAGAACACTATATTGCAGAGGAATATATATGTATATCTTATGTATAGTGGATCTTGATGTGTGTGAATCACTGGGCAAAACAATGTATATATACTTATGCATAGAAACACTATAAAAAAGGCAAAATGATAACCAACACAGGATTCAGGGAAGAGATTTCTTATGATGTGGAGGAAGGAAAACGCAGGAGAGGAGCATCACTTAAGAGGCCTCAAAGTTATTGCTAACAACCCACCTCTTTCCTTTTTTATTTTCCCTCCCTGGCTAAGGGCTGAGCCCACAGCTTGCACATTAAGCAAGTGCTTTACCAGCCCGAATGACCCAGTTCTTAGCCTGTGTGGGAGGAGCACAAGTGGCCATTATAATTTTCTTTAAAGCATACATGTTAATATTTTATTCACTCTTAGAGGTAACAAAAAATCTTCAAAAAAGAATAATTTTATGATTTAATGATCTTGATTTAACAAATACAGAAAAGTTAATGAGAGTGACACATTTAATAATGGACAAGAGGCTGGTGGAGTGGCTCAATTGGTAGAGCACCTGCCTAGCAAGTGTAAAGCCCTGAGTTCAAATTCCAGGACCATAAAAAGTTTGCAACTGTAAATAAAACTTAGACTATGTGGTATTGAGTTAAAAAAAAGAAAAATAATTTGTAGAGATACTTCACCAAGGATACAGGGATGGGAAAGAAGCACATAAAAAGATCCTCAATATCATTATTCATTAGAGTAATATGAATGAAAACCTCAACATCCACTACCATACAGGCTAAAATGTCAATATTTACAGTGACATTGCTCATAATAGCCCCTGACAGGAAACAATCCATTGCATGGTATTAAACAATGAGGTAACAAAATGTGTGCGTCCATACAGTGAAACACAAGGGAATAAACTACTCCCCCTGTAACAATATGGATAAACCTCAGAAAGCACTATGCTAAGTGAAAAACACATAAGACTACATAATGTATGATTCCATTACAGGAAACTGCTATACAAGGCAAAACCAGGAAAAAGAAAACAGACCAGTCAGTGATGGGCTCTGGTTAGGAGTGGGATAAGACTGGCTACAAACACCAAGGAAACTTTTGGACAGACAACTATGTTCTAAAAGTGGCCCGCGGAACTGTTTGGTCCTTTTTTCTATTTACTTATTTTTGGTGACACTGGAGTTTGAACTCAGGACTTCCTGCTTCTCAAGCAGGCACTCTACCACTTGAGCCACACCTCTAGTCCCCATTTTGCTCTGGATATTTTGGAGATGGGGGGGAGGGTCTCATGAACTATTTCACAGGCTGGCCTGGAACCACAGTCTTCCCAATCTCAGTCTCCCAGGTAGCTAGGATTACAGGTGTGAGTCACCAGCACCTGACTCCTTTCAATTTTATTAGAAAATAGAAGACAACTTCCAAAAAAAAAAGAAATAAAAAGTTCCATGCACTGGAAACTTGAAAAGATGAAATTACCGTAAGTATGACACTGCTAGCCTGGGTGTGGTGGCTCACACCAGTAACTTCAGCACTTGGAGGCTGAGACAGGAGGATTGCAAGTTTGAAGCCACCCTGGGCTACAAAGTGAGTTCAAGACCAGATTGAGCTACACAGCAAGACCCTCTTTCAAAAAAAAATGAGGGGCTGAAGGTGTGGCTCAAATGGTAGACTGCTGGCCTAGCAACCTCTAGCCTCTGAGTTCAAACTCCAGTACTACCACCACCAAAAAAAAAAAAAGAGAGAGAATGAATGATGGCTCACACCTCCTAGTTACTGGAGAGGCAAAGATTGGAAGGACTGCAGTTTGAGGCCAGACCTGATCAGGCAGGGGTCAGGGAAGTGAGGGGGAAGGGCAGAGGGAAGCAGTAGCAAGATCCCACCTCAACAAATAAGCCAGGTATGTGGTATGCACCTGTGAGAGGCATAGTAGGAGGACAGCAGTCAGAGGGGGCAAAATTGTGAGATTCTATCTGAAGAATAACCAAAATAAAAAGGGCTGGCACTGTGGCTCAAGTGGTACAGTGTCTACCTAGCAAGCACGAGGCCCTGAATTCAAACCCCAGTACCAGCAAAAAAAAAAAAAAAAAAAAAAACAACAACAAAACACTGCTAGCAATAAACTTGATGATGAAAAAATTAGTTAACTTCAGGCTTAAGTGCTAACGTCCTATCAAAACAAAAGCTATTCTGTTCAAAATACTATGAGACTGAAATATTCAGTATGATTCTGCCATGACAGAAATCAAGTTCACATTCTGCTACATGAACACTTATCTACATCTGCAGTTAACACTAGCAGATAAGCTATATTATAGCAATGTCTTGTTAACCTTTCTACCTTACATTTAAAAGTATGCAAATTATTTCTTCCATGTTTCCAATATTTAAAACCTAGTAGTAGTAATCATGCTAATTTAATATTCTTAATAAAAATCTTTGCTCTGTGTTCAGAATTTTCTTTTTCTTTCTTTTTTTTTTTTTTTTGTGGTACTGAGGTGTGAACTCAGGGCCCACACCTTAAGTCACTTCACCAGCCCTTTTTTGTGATGCACTTTTTTAAGATAGAGTCTTACAAACTATTTGCTTGGACTGGCTTCAAACCATGATCCTCTTGCTCTCTGCCTCCTGAGTACCTAAGATTACAGGTGTGAGCCACCAGGCTCAGAATTTTCTGATTAGACTAAAATATAAAATAATGTGATTACTCTGCATGTGCAAATGAAAGAACAGAAAACAAAAGGCCCTTAGTAGACAATAATGACTTTGCTCCTTTTTTTTTTTTTTTGAGACAAGGTCTCATTATGTAGCCCAGGCTGGCCTTGATTCTCAATCCTCCTGCCTCCTGCATGCTGGGATTACAGGCACACATCACTATCCCCAGCTCTGACCTTGCTCCTTAACACACAAAACTAAGTTGTAAAATAGCCAAAGTCAACATTTTTACTGTCTAAGTTATCCAGGGTGTTTTTTCAAAAGACAATAAATCATGAAAAAACAAAATAGTTCTAACAATATTGCAGAACAGGCACTGAAACCCAATACTAAACCAAGGCACAAAGTTTCACATTTGGAACCAGGCACCAGTGGCTCATGCCTGTAACCCTAGCTACACAGGAGGCAAAGATCAGAAAGATCACAGTTCAAAGCCAGCCCAGGCAGATGGTTCTCAAGACCCTATCTTGAAAAAACCCAACATAAAAACAAGGCTGGTGGAGTGGCTCAACTGGTAGCTCTCATCTGTCTAGCAAGCATGAGGCCCTGAGTTAAAAAAAATTATGATAAATATGCACGTATCTGTATTTATGTGCATACTTAGTCATTAACTATTATTTGAGTCATTATTTTGGAATATTTAGTCATTAAAAAAATGAAGTCTGAGGCAAGGTCAAGTGGTAGAGTACCTGCTTTGTAAGCCAGAAGTCCTGAGTTCAAACCCTAGTCAGTCACACCAAAAACAACAAAAAAGAAGTCCTGTTATGTGCAGCAACATGGATGGAACTGGAGGACATTATACTAAGTGAAATACACCGGGCACTGAAAGACAACGTAAGCTCTTGCTCATATGTGGTCACTAGATCAGGCATCAGTGGAGGTTAGAAAGGGTAGGATAGGGAGGTTAAATAATAGGTGCCAAAATACAGTTAAGACAGAAGGAATAAACTCAAATGTTGTAGAGCATAGAAGAGTGACTGCAGTTCACAATTTATTATGTATTTCATAAAGAACTAAGAGTTTGAAAGTTCCCAACCACAAAGAAAGGATAAAAGTTTAAGATGGAAATCCACCCTGTCGAGTTAACACACTACACGCCGTAGTATGTACTTCTATGTTAACTTTTTAAAATTAGTCAAGAATTGCGAGACCCTGGGTGGCTCCACAGCAGCCCCCAATATTAGTTTTGTTTTTTTTTTTTCTTTTAAAGAAATGACTACTGGCCGGGAGCCAGTGGCTCACAGCTGTAATCCTAGTAGTTGGGGCGGTGGTGATCAGAAGGATCGCAGTTCAAGGCCAGCCCGGGCAAATAGTCCCCGAGATCCCCACCTCCAAAATAACTAGGGCACAATGACTGGAGGTGCGGCTCAAGAAGTAGAACGCCTGCCTTGCAAGCATCAAGTCATGAGTTCAAACCTTAGTCCTACCACAAACAACAAACTACTAATGGGTCATCCTGAATTAATGTGCGCTGCTCTATGGGCTTTCTGGGGAATTAGTTAACGCTTAACCGAGACCAAATGATTTTGACAGTACTTCCCAACACTCAGTCACAACAGAAAAAGGATGGCCCCAATCCGCGGGCCGAAAGTTAGGGACCCTGAAGCCTCCAGGCTTCGTCATATTAAACTCTTAATCCACGGGGTTAACAAAAACAAGTGGCAGTGCTTCCTTTCCAAATTCCGAGAGAAAGAAAAAACGGGGCAAAAAATAGAGCCTACTCCGGCTAAAACCTCTTTTCAGTCGGAGCGCCTCAAGAGAGACCGCAGTCCTAGCGCGGGGCCGGAGCCCCAAAAACCGAGACAGCGCTGGGCGACCCAAGCAGGACGCGTCGCACCGCCCACCTCCATCCGGAGGGCCTCGGCTCCGCCTCTCCCCGGGGCCGCCGCGAGGAACAGCGGCGTCGGCCGGCCTGCCCCGCCGCGCCCTGCCAGCCCTGCCAGCCCTGCCA